CATGAAGACTTCAGTTAGGCCAGCTGGGTAGACAGGAAAGGACGTGATAAGGCTGGGATTACTGTTGTTTAAATAAGGTTGGGGACTCAGTAGGAAGGAATAGGGGAGGCACTCATTTGTTTATTTTCTGGAAGAGTAATGGAAGAATGCATTCATTAAGCCAGATGCGAGTTGGGAGAGAGAGAGAGAAGGAAACTTAGCATGGGAATGAGATTAAGTTCAAGTTTAGAGAGTCTGCACCCCTTTTTAATTTAGTGTTTATTGTCTTTTTAAAATTAAATCCTGTCCGTAAACTATCTGCAGTATATCTGAACACAAAAAACAGTAAAGATGAAGTATTTAAGAAAACTCTAGTTATTATGTTTATCTATGGCTAGCCTATAATGTAGTCCATATTCTATTCTGTATTATTTAACTTTAAAAGCATTTGAGAATTCTTTTTATATTACACACGAAGTAAAACAAGTAGCACTAATACATCCTTGTTCATTATACTATTTAATACTCTTTTGATCTAGTTAAATACCAACAATAAAATTTTAATTTAAAAAGAATCTTGGGCATATTGAAATCTCTGAGTCCCAGTTAATTGAATCAGCCATAAGCATGAGATAAAACAAAAATGGGAGTGGAGTTCTAGCCATGATTTCCAAGCCAGGCACTGACTGTAGAACTGAATGTTTTAAACCATTCTGATTTTCAATTATACAGTTTCCCTTAGTCCCTCTTTTTATAGCTAGGATGTCTGAATTACTGAGATGAGTAGATGGCAGGATGTCTTAAATGCTGATTGGGAAGACTGTCCACCCCCCACCCCCACCCCCACAAGCATACACATGCATATATATATACGAGGAGAGATAGGTGGTTGTATCAGGTTAAGAAAATGAAAAAAATATTTATATTGAAAAGCACTGTCTTATACTCTAGAAGATCAGAATAAATGGAACAATGTAAATTTTATCATTTTATGGAACAACTAAGACAAATAATTATACTTCTGTTATGGCTCTCATTTATAAATTGTATACTTAATTTCTTTGACTGTAGTTTTCTACCAAGTTCATAGTTTAAGGGACTCCTCAAAACGGTTTAGGATGTTAGTGTTTGCCATTATATCTTATGTTGTTATTTTGATAGAAATTATATTCACTTGACAAGATTATACCAATCCAACAATAGAAGCAAGGGTGATAACTTTTTTCTATTTGGTATATTTTTCTGGTGATTGTTTCTTGTTTTTTGTCTTTCTCAGGCCTAAGATTTNGGGCATTTACTGCTATAAATTTCCCTCTGAGCACTGCTTTCACTGCATTCCGTAAGTTTTGATACATTGTGTTTTTGTTATCATTCATCTCTAAGTATTTTCAGTTACTCTTGAGATTTCTTTTATCCATTGGTTGTTTGAGAATATGATGTTTAATTTCCACGTTTGTGAAATTTCCAGTTTTATTGATTTCTAGCTTCATTTTAGTGCCATCAGAGAAGACTCTTTGTATGATTCAATCATTTTAAATTTATTGAAGCTTTTTTTTTTAAAACTTATGGTCTGTCTTGGAGAATGTTCTTCGGGCACTTGAGAAGAATGTGTTCTGCTGTTGCTAGGTAGAGTGTTCATAAGTGTCTGTTATATCTGGTTGGTTTGTAGTGTTAAGTACTCTATTTTCTTATTGATCTTCTGTCTAGGTATTGTATCCAGTATGGAAAGTGGAGTGTTGAAGACTTTAGCTATTATTGTAGAAT